CCGGGCTCCCGCCCCCGCTTGGTGCGGCCTTGCGCCCGCGTATCAGACAACAACCAACGGAGGGCTGCAATGGCGATGTGTCGGGTCGGGCCGCCCGCCGGGCCCCTCGGAGACTTGAATGCAAGGTCCGACGAGAGTGCGGCCCGTGACGGGACGGGACGGGCCGCTGTCGGCGAGCGGGCATTACCAACACGGGACGGACGGACCGCGGGGGCGGCGGGGGGCGGCGGGGGTGAGGCAGCACAAAGACACGCCCCCCTTGGGCAGGAGGCGCCCTGACCCCGTTCCCAAGGCTCATCTCCTAATCTTCACGCAAACTGACACAAAACCACTCAAAGTGACGCAATCTCCACCCCCGGCCATTGTCGGGCTCTCTTCTGAAGTGTGATATCTATTCGTATCGCCCAAATGGTTGTGTTGTCCTGTCCATAGGTCCAGGTGATCCAGGTCGGGAGGGGGGGGGGGCTTTCCCCCTCTTGCCGTCGCCCTTCTTCCCCTTCAGCCGCCGCGCCCGCCCCTCCCCGCCGAAGTGGTTGGAATTTTTCGTATGAGGAAGTCGTTAGGACCGGGCGGGGCGGCCGCCCGCATCGGTACATAGTGGGCCGGGCCCGGGCACGCGACGGACCGGACCAGCGCGCGGCGGGGCGGGGCGGGGCGGGCAGCGACGCGTGACGGCGGCGAGTGCCAAAGCAGTGGGGGCGGGGGAGAGTTACTTGTAGCAGCAGCGGCCGGGTACTGCTTCGCCGTGCAGCGGCAGCGGCAGCGCTGACCTCGCCCAGCTGACTTTGGGGTGGATGTCCCCGCGAGACGCGCTCACGCCCAGGTCGGCCACCCCGCAGCAGCTCCCTCTCCCTCTCCATCTCTTTCGCCTTTCGGACGCCACGCCGAGGGTGTATGTGTCGGGGGTTCACGGTGCAGGGCTCTGGACCACACACTTCTGCAGCAGAGAGCAGGGCGAGCAGAACACGCAACGCAGCCGGATCGGATAGTAGATGCGCACCAGAAACTGAAAGCCTGTCGAGCGTGTGGAAATATCGCGGCGTGCGCTCCGAACCCGACCCGCCGATGCCGATACGACGCGCGACTCGACACTCGTTGTTCGGACCGCGGCGCCGCGGAGGTGGAACTGGACGGGGGAGAGGGAAGGACCAGCGGCGGGACGCGGGGGG